GGGCCCCCCCCCCCTTTTTTTTTTTTTTTTTAATAGAACCTAATTTGCTCGAAGTAATGACTACAATTGTCACACTGGTTACTCTGAAAAATATGACCTCAGTCTCAATTACTTTTTCCCAATGTCAGACTTTTTCTACATCAAAATGATGCTCGAAAAAAAAAAGTTGCTATTCTTAAAAATTATTTTCTTAAAATTGTTGGAAAAAATATTTTAGAAAAATCTTTAAAAAAGACTATTTTTGGAATATTTTTTTTTTTCGACAAATGTGGCTGTAATATGTCGCACTCAAACAAAATGAAAGATTTGAATGCAGCTTAACAAGAAAAGGGATTTTTTTTTTCCAGTGATTAGGTGCACCTTGTTGATACTTGCGTGCTTATTACTCCTGTGTTGATTTTCTTGGGAAAAAAAAATTGTCCGTCCGTTAAATGTGTTAAAGGGCCACCATAGCAATTCAAATCCACTTGTTAATGAGTGCTTTTATGATGATCTTTTTTGGTTGTGAGATGATGCATTGTATAGTTGATACACTAACTGCTGGCGTGCTTCCTTGAATGCTGCACCAATGAAATTTCACGGAGCTTCAAAACATGGCTGATTTTGCTTGATATTGTTTTTTTTACTTTTTAATGTTGTTTCATGGTGCCTAGAAAAAAAAAAGGGCTTTGATCAGAATGTAAATTGAGATGAATGATCGATCACTACCAGTCTATTAATTCTTGTACGAGTGAGCGACTGTGCTATGGCCTCTCTACTTGTGTGAAACAACAAAAAAAAATATGTAAAATCTCAATGTTGCTTCTTTGACTTTTTATTGCAATTGTTTCATTACACTTTAATATAAAACCATTTTGCCACTATAAGAAACTAATAATTAGTTTTATTGGAATAAAAAAAAATCAACTCAGCACTTTTTACACATACAAGCATTTTACAACAGTAAAATAACCTGAACTGGCAATGCCGCCTACTCGATGTGGCGAGAAGTGAAGCCACTGGCGGCCATCTTACATTGCCACTCACTAAGCGCGCCAAACTTGAATACATTGATTTCCCTGCGCCGTTTTCACATTTTTTTTTTGTCTCTGTGGCGAAAATGCCAGTGCGTGGTCAAAGGGTGTACCAAAATAAGTCTGGGAGAATCTCGAAATCCACATCCGCAAGAGGCGACAGGCAGTTCAGGTTATGATAACCGTCCGTGGGTTTAGCCCGCATATATCACCTAGCGTCCGATGGATGGATCCAGTCCCAGACATGCAGCGAAGCGTCGGCCGCGGCCGACACGAGTGTCCTGGTCTCTTTGGGATGCCAAAGGTGACAATTGACAGCAACAGCGCCGCCCTCGCGCCGCTGAGAACACACGGCGTGGCCGCGGTGCTCAAAAAGCGGATGGGAATCACGGGGTTCCGATTGCCACGAGGAGGTGTCGTAGATTTGGACCGCACCGCTGAAACCTGAAAATAATCAAATAGACGCAAGAGTTTTTACGGACGCTTATCATGTGACGTCACATTTGTATTCGGTTTTCTATATCATGACTTCGGACGACTGGTTCCAAACAGGGAGGAATGTTTGTCACGCAACTAGACATCAGGAGATCGATGACCGATAATACTAAATTTTCTTCCTTAAACATGGTCTTGGAATGCTGCATTCGAGGAAGGTGGGAAATTGGAATACTCTGCCTCAGATTGCCCCAGGTGCAACCTCAAAGCGTGCAAGGCGAGAAGAAAACAAAGATGGCAGATTCCGATAAATTTGTTTGTTGTTCTGGTTCTTTGCTGAGCATTTTCCAGCAAACTTTCAAAACTTTTCGAACTTGTATAAACTACGGACCCACATAATGCTTCACATGGTTATAGAATACACATAAAAATACAAAGAAACAAAAGAATAAAAATAATTTTTAAAAGGCACTTGAGCAAATCCCCAGAGTGTCCTGTGCTGACCTGACACAGCGACGATGTCGTCCAGCGCCGGCGCCCACAACACATTGACATCACGCGAGTCGCGATGCGGCGTGCCCACCGCTAGCCGAGCCCGGCGTGTGATGCCAGTCGGGCCCCTCGGGTCTGACACCGCCGCCCACCCGGATGAGGACACGCGGATCAGCCCGCCGCGTCCCGACACGTCCGCCCACCACACGTCAGAATCGGGCATGGAGGGAGCGGGCGCCAGTTGAGGAGGAGACGAGGTCCGGGTGTCCACGGTGAGAACGTCGCCGTTGGCGCAGGCGGCCAAGAAGACGGCGTTACTCACAAAGTGCAAACTGGTGAGACGCTCCTCACAGGCTGACGCTGTTTGGACCAAAGTAAACAGAGAAGGATCACGCAGTGATTGCTGCTGTCACAAAGAAAACGCACACACTCTCGACACAATTAACCAGCCTTCCAAAGGTTTACCGAGCTGGTAGAGCGTCTGTCCTGTGGTCAGTTGCGTCAGCCTGACGTCACCGCCCCGACACCCGTGAAGAACCTCCGGCTGCGGTGAGATTCGGGCCGCCATCTTCACGCCACCCGGGCTTCCCGCCGAACCCTGGACGCTCGACACCTTTGTTATGACGTCTGACAAATGCAAAACCAGTGTCAGCTAACGGTTAACTCATGCTAACGGCTAAATCATGCTAACTCTGAAGAGTTTGGGTGACATAAAAAGATACGTACCACTGTCATCACCCCCGAGGTTCCACACCTGCAGGTCTGAGGTCAGTCCGTCGTTGGTCACAATGAGCCTTTCAAAATAAAACGAGCACCAAAAATAAATAAATATATAAAAAAAAGGTTAGGGTTTTTTTTTTTTTAAACTGAAGACAGGAAATGCTGAAGTTGGGACTTTTTGCTCACCTTGTTCCTGGGACGTGTTTGAGGACGCTGACAGGATCGGGGGAAAATCCACCGTGGAGCACTTTGAAATCCCGCTCGGCACAGAGACCCTGAACGCATCATCATCATCCATACAAACACTCACACGAATTAACACGACACACACACAAAAAAAACATGAAAATTAAAAGCATTTAGCCAAAAAGCAAAAACTTTTTGGCTAAATGCTTTTATTAAAAAAAAAAAAAAAAAAAAAAACCCTACAGGTCACAGGCAGCATTGTCACTGCTCTTGGTTTATTTACCTTTTTTTCTTCAGCAAAGAGCTTTTGGGGCAAACAGAGCTCCAAAATTTCATTTTTTGAGGACTTGTTGTAACCTGCCACACAGATGGCTGTAGACAAAAAAATATGGACAATTTTGTTAAAATTTGAATCATGTGGGTGCAGCTTGTATAAAACTATCACGTGAAGACCCTGCAGGGGAAAATCAAAATCATTGAAGCTATAGAGCACCCCCGTGTGGCAACATTTACCACTACAACAACAAATGGCTGGCGTCAGGCTGACACTCATGTCAAAATTTGATGAGTTTCATACTTATATTTTACAAGTCTTTGTTTTGAGGGAAAAAAAAAAGATTCCTCCAGAAAAGTTAAGAAAAAAAGGTGGAATAAATATGGTGACTCTTGAATAAATACAACTGGGGTAACACAAAATAAAAACAAATGTAGAATTTTCCAGATCATCTTCTGATTAAAAATAAATAAATAAAAAGTGTCCCAAAACGTTATTCTCCAGAACTTTAAATTTAAATAATAATCTTGTGAATCTTCCCATTGAAAATAAATTTGATGACTTTATCACAAAATGGTCCAGAAAACGTCTGGTAAAAGAAAATTTTATTTTCTCTTTTTTGTTGTTTTGTTTCGGAAAAATAATACATACAAAAACAGTAAGGCTATTCACACATTGAGATGTCAAAAAGTAAGGCGGCCATTTTCTGTCATCACAGGACTCGTGCTCCAGATTTACGAGAATAATGGCACCAGATTTAAGGAGAATAATGGCACCAGAAATTTTAGGGTCGTGCATTCCACACATTTCTATTATTTTATTGGACCTAGACGTTATAATCGTTATCTTAAAAAAAAAAAAAAAAAAGCCAATGTAAACAATCTGTTCCAGGGTCCCAAAACTTTTTTTATTCACTGTAGGAAAACATTTCTAATCACGTGTGGCACATTCCTAACTGTCATCCAGACATCAAAAACACTTTACTTTGGTACAAAACTTCCAACAGATGGTGGCATTAAGAGAGCTGATCAAATTGATCAATACATGATTTTAATAATCGATCAAATGTTTACTGTCCTTGTTTAATTTAAAGTTGTCCAAATTCTGGCAATTCCAGCCTGGAGTCAAAATAAGACATTTGCAAAGATCTGCTTTTACTTTGGAAAACAATGATCAATGTTTGTGCCTATTTCCTGACAGGTTACAAACCACACCAGTGAATCCGACAATTTTTTTTTTTTCATGTGACGCATTGATTGTCACTTTGGAAATAAAGTCCTGTTTTTCAACAAAGTGATGGAAATCTGATTGATTGATGAATGGTTTATGAATATAATTGCTCGTTGCAGCCCTTGTGGTAAGCTGTGATGAAGTCACAACAAAACATGAATTGGTTGTTCCTACTCCACCAGAGCAACTCCCCAGGCTGGGTCGGAGGGCGGCTGGGGCAGGATCCAGTCCGTCGGGATTGTCGTCCCATCGCAATGATCATCCGGCACCAGGAAGACGTCCCACTGTTGCCGTACGTGAAGCAAAGCGTGGAGCGAAGACTCTGCGTGGGCGTAGTACTCCGTAAAGGGCCGCAGGGCGTCAGCGACAGGCGTCTCTTCGCCGAACAGCATGGCGTCCATTTTGTGCTTTTGCCGCCTCTCCCTGTCCTTCCTGAGAGCCCGCCGCTCTTCCTCTTGCACGCCGTCCAGCATCACCGTCAGCGCCTTCTCCTCTGCCGTGTAGATGTGCGTCCTGGCCTTGATGACGCGCCGCAGCCCGTCCAGTTGGCGCTGGAACGCCACATCCTCGTCCTCCCCGGTGCTCACGCCCCTGCGGGAGGCGGCGTCCTTACGCAGCCGCCGCAGTTTCTCCAGCGAGCGCAGGACGTCCTGCATGCGCTTGATGTCGCTCTGCTTCTTGCGCACCTCGCACAAGACCGAGTCGGCCGCCAGCTTCAGCTCGCGTTCCTTCTTCTCCTCCTCCGCCTGGTGGATTTGTCGCAGCCGCCACTTGTCCACGGCACTCTCCTTCTCAGCTCGCCGCACCTCCCGCTCGGCTTGGAACAGCTCTGCTTTTTGCCTGCTTTTCAGCCGCCGCTCTCCCACCCCA